AATCAAATTTGAGCCTACTTCAAAAATTTCACCAGAGGAGGTTGTTTTGATGCTCAAATATCTTCAAATTAATCATTTCGATATCAATAAGCATGGACATGAGAAAAAAATAGATTTCAAGTTTTGGAAATTGTGTATTTTGTAACGTATTTTTGGACCGCCAATTTTCAAGATTTCATAGATCTATCGATCTACACTATTTTTGAAGCTTTAAATTTTATAAATAAATATAAAAATATATTTTAAAGCTAGCACAAAGATTTCCAATATTAAAACCACATTTCTTGACACTATTTGAAGGTAGGCTCTAATTTGATTATTTAGAGCCTAGGCTCTACACAAACGGCAACCTTCGTATTTTACAATCAAGTCTTTTTTTTTAAGAATACATTTTCATTTTATCTCTTTTTCTGTACATTTGTTTAATTTCAAGTTTAGTATATTCTTATTTTTCACCATTATATATCTGAAAAATATTTAAAAAATAGCTTAAAATAAATAAAATTATCAAACTACCCTTGAATAGTATAGGGGTAGTTTGGTGATTTTATTTATTTTACATATTTTTATAGATATATAATGGTGAACAATATAAAGATACCAAATTTAAAATTAATCTAATATGTAGAAAAAAAAAAAGGATACTATGAAATTACACTTTATATTCTAAAAAAAGAGACGATTGTAAAATATGAAATACATAACTATTTTAAATGGAAAAAATAAAATAAGATTTATATGTAAATTTTTCTTAAATAGAATATTAAACAGTTCATCTCTTATCTCTTAGGTATTATGGTAAATTTTCCATAAAATAATTTGCTCATTTTGTTGAATTTTTTCAGGCACATCTGTTGAAGCATTTGTGAATGGGAAAAGGCATTTAAAACTGTTAAAATTTAATGAGAATTATGAGATGAATGCTCCAAACCTCCTCATTACACTATTCCCACTGCCAGGAGTCGATTGGGTTGGAGACGTTTACATCCATTGCAAAGAATCCGGCTTAGCTGCAAGCGTGTCTGTAGGTGGCTGGTCAGTCTTTGGGTTCAAAAGAAATTCAAGGTCTCTCTCTCACACACATACACACGTATGTGTGCGTATGCAGGCGTGCGCACACACGTATGCACAGTCTTTTTTGTGTGCGTTGTTTTCAGGCTTTTCTCTCAACCCACTCTCTCTAGTCGACTTTACAACTGTGTAGATGGTTTGTAGGCTCAGGCGTCTCAATGTGTGTTTAGGTCTATAAATGGTTGGGCTAGGTTCAAGTCGACCCCAACCCAGACCCAAGGTTGACCTAGACTTGACCTCGACCTTGTCAGGTCCGGTTTGATGGCACCTGGACTGGACCTGTCAGGGTAGGTCAGCTCTGGGTGAAAATATAAAATTATTTATATCATGAAATATATTATATATCGGGTGCAATGAGCTTAAGAAGCAGACTTTATGATAAAAAGTAATGTCACACCTTCAAAACTCTACCAGCAAATTCAATTCCAGTACCAAAAATCTTGAAAGGAGCTAGAAAATTTGTTTTCTGAGTAATCAGCCTTTGATGATAAAGATATGCCTTGGTTGTATTTCGTGAATTCTTAAATCTGACTTATAAAATTTTAAATTTTTTATTTTTCTCTTCAAAATTTTCTAAAATCTCTCATTTTTTCTTTTTTCTTTATAAAATTTTATGCAAAAGGGCTTGTATGTCTCCCCATCCTTCATCTGAAAAAAAAAAATACTTCAAAATTAGAAAATGTCACATAGAAAATGAAATGGCCATAATCAATATTAAATGACATAGATTTGAAATGTGCAAATTTTTATTTAAACTAAATATTTTAAAATGACCACTTGATCTAATTTCTTAGCAAGAGCATCATGCAATGCATTGACAATAACTATCATGAATTAATGTGAATAAATTAGCGATTTAAAAAATGGACCGGGGATCTAGATAGGGCATCGCAAAAATTAATCCAGATCGGTGAATCGGCAGTCCTTTTCGTTGTTTTATCGTGCGGAAAAAATAGTGAACCGGTGAAAAAACACGTGCAAAAACAATAAACCGGTCAAAAACTCGTCTAGACTGGGGAGTCTTTTTTTACTTTAGCAAAACACTATTTTATTGTAGCAAATAGCTTGTTCTTTTCTTAATGAAATCGGCAAAAACGTGATTGATTCCTGAGTTGGACCGATCGACTTTGTGCCGACCTGGTAATTTATTTAAAACTTATATTACAAACGTTAATGAATTTATGCAGGGGTGTCAGGGGAAAAATCTATTATGAACCGGGTGGACAACCGATCTACGAGTTTGAAGGTCGCTGGGACAAGTAAGATTGTGGGTAAAATACTGAAGAGTCAGAAGATTGTTTCGTTTTTTTTTAATTTCATCAGAAACTTATCGAAAAGTGCTCTAAATATTAACTATTTAGCATTTCATCCATTTTGTTTGATTTAATTTAAAAAACTCTTCAAACGACACATAGTCACGAGTTAGAGTAAGCGCGTGTCGATAAATGGGTCATATACGCAGTTGACATTTTAGATGTGATAAATTTAGAATTTAACTTCCATCTTTTCTTTAGTTTTAAAGTGAGATTTTCAATGAGGCCATATGATTTTCTCTTTTTTGATTCAATCCTTTTTGAAAGGTTACTACTAGGAATTTAAGGTGCTAAAAACACTCCTCGAGTGTTACCGAGGGATTGGGTGTTAGAAAAAGACAAGGGAAATTTACCAAATAATTCTTAATATTTTAACTATTTAACATCGTACCCATATTTTCAATCTAAATTTGAAATAGCCCATCGTTCTTTTGATTGAATTTCAAACGACTCATGAAATGCCACACGAAAATGGGTTTTAAATAGTTCAAACGACTCATGAAATGCCACACGAAAATGGGTTTTAAATAGTTCAAACGACTCATGAAATGCCACACCAAAATGGGTTTTAAATAGTTCAATCCGGTGTTTCAAAACTCAGATCGGTGGGGTGGATTATTCACCCATAATCCATATCGTGCCTGAATCGATAATCTAAATTGATATGAATAGATGATCTAGAAAAATATTAAAAAAAAAATGAAATAGAATAAAATTAAAATAGTAGCTTATGGGGTGGGGATTTAGAAAGGACCTAACGCAAAATTACATCAGCTTACATAAGAAAAAAAGAAAAGAAAAAAAGAGTGAGGTTCAGGAGGAGACGGGCCAACACCCATGCCATTATGGAACCGATTTGGTCCCGACCGAGTACCATCCAGATTAGAAATCACCCAACGAGTTCAACTTTCGGATATTTTTCAATAGAAAGTTCCCAGAAAATAGTCCTACACAAGTTTTGCCCATGAAAGCGAATCTACGAAATACTCCCTCGGGAGCATTTAATCTGTTGGGTTATCTATTTAGGAAAATTAGTAACAGTTTGCCTCTTCCCGTTAACTTTCTTTTCCAACTTTTTTTTTGATTCATGGAGTCTCTCTCTTGTTTTTGGAATCTCTCTCTCTCTTGCATCATTCACTTTTTTGTCTTTCCTTGATGCCGTCTTAGATCTCTTTTTTTTTTGTCTTTTGTTTTAATTAAGCTCCAATATCAACCCTAATCATGCCAAACGACACAACCTTAAATTTCTTTTAGGTAGAGAAAGTGGACGCTTCGACTGCAAAAGCCAAACAGCGTTTTCTAATCTCTCTCTAATATCTTTATACACGCTAAAATTTCGCATTTTTTTTGTTCTCACTAATACATGCGTAAGCATAGTGTCTTTCCTGAAGTTTAATTATTTTTATTAAGGTTGCCAACAAGCCGGGCTAAAATCTGGCCCGAATACACCTACGGCTCGCAATGGGCCATGTGGCTTGGCTTAGAGGGCCTCGGCCTCATCCTAGGCCACTGGCCCCAAGGGCTAGGCCATGAGCTGGGTCACATAGCCCCAAGGCTAGGCCAGGCGGGGGCATGGGCTAGGTCTATAACAGCCAGACCTAGCCCTGCACTGTTTTTTAATCTAGTAGGCAGGCCCAAATTGGGCCGGGGCCCGATATGAGTCTACTAGGGCCCAGAGCAAGCCTATCTAATGGGCTTCATGCTGTTGTCTGCGCCTAGCCTGAAACCAGGCCCTGCACAACTTGATTGGCATCTCTACATGCAAATTGCTAGGTTCAGGCCAAGCTCGGGGGAGCTTGGGCCAGGTCATGTTTCAGCTAGAGCCAGGTCCAAGCCCGGCTAGCGAGCCTCATTGGGCGGTACAAACTCAGCCCGGTGTGTAGACCGATGGTCTGGTCCAGCAGGTTGACAACTGTACTTTTGGTAATTTTTCAAATGAATTAAATATATTCAGGCAAGCGACCCAACGATCTTGTTGCAGGGCGGTGACGATAAAGGAAATTGGCACCGGGAAAATGACGACTTTGTACAATGCGAAGGAAGCCATTTTTAAGCTGAAGACACCGGCCCTTCAGGATCCAAAGGTAAATGCCTCTTACTTCAACAATAAAAAAAGACAAAGAAAAAATCTCTTTATCGCCCGCCCCAGTACTCGTTTGGTATGGTTTGTACAAGGCTGAGGCCCTGAACAATCCAATCCAAGTAACGTGCACATTGAAATAGTATTGAAAGATATTATTTGAGTATTAAAAATCTTTGTGATGGCTTGAAAATTATTTTTATATCCAATTATAAAATTTAAAGCTTAAAAAATAGTGTAGATCAAACAAGACTTGGATAATAAAATTACCCATTTTTTATTAAGTTATTTATCAAATATTGGTTCCCCTTTCTTCTTAGGGCGTGGCTAAAACTGAATCAGCTTTGGTCTGGTCCCATCTGATGAAAGCAATAACGAATAAAGAATGGGACAACGCAAGGGACGCGAAAAAGGCAATAGAGGAAAAGGAGAGGTCAATAAGGAGAGAGAGGATGAAGAAGGGGACTGTTTGGGTACCTAAATATTTCCATTTAGTGAAAACTGAAGATAACGCCTTCGAAGTTTTACCTAGACAATCTCAAGTGCCCCCTGCCCCAATTATTGCTTCTTAGGAAGTGGTTCATATTTCTTGTAGTTTTTTTCTTTCTTATTTTTTATTTATTTAAATCAGATAACATTGCAAACTATGAATAGCGAAATATAGTGAAATATAGTTGTGCTTTGTCAATTACTGGCATGTGAAATATGATGCACCACCAACATGAAAAATATATTTCTAATATTAAATTAAATAAATATCTGATTTATTTTTATTTTCTATTTTTAAATTTCGGTGATATTTCTAAATATATTTTGATGGAGCTCATTCATTTTCCTTGCATTATAAATTCTTTATTTTTAGTTTTTAATTTTAATTTATACATTCTTTATATTTTTCCTTATTTATTTGATATTGTTCACTTTTATGATACATACAATTCAATTTGGATAACAAATATAAAATAGCAGCTTTATATCTCAAATTCGATTCCTACTATTGAACTACTAAAAAAAGATCTTAAAAGGAGGCTTAACTCCTACGATTTGCAAACTACTCAACTGCATGTTACATTGATGCTAAGTATCAATGCGGTACCAAGCCCTACTATAGTGCTCTTGTCTAGGATGGCTTTAACTCCTAAATAAGAGCCCTCCCTTTATGCTCTTGTCTAGGAGGGCTCTGCCCTCCTATAGAAGAGCTATTGCCCGACTTTAGTAGTTAGATTCCCGAAAGATGCTAATACTATCCAAGGTGCCTATAACATTGTACCTTTTTGTAAATACAAATTATAAGTAAAATCCACGAGCATGACAAACTGAAATGCACCCCTATCTCATGTCACCGTGCCAAAAATTATAATAGCTGCCCTTTCATATATACTAGCATAGGTGAAAAGCAAGGGATAGAAAAGTAAAGTTGTTGACCAAAACCATCAACTAACCCAACATGGCTTTGTTATAAAATATTGGATGGTTTGATCTTTTCTTCTTTGTTTGGAATAGAGAAAGTAGAAGACACGGAATATTTCTCTTATTCAAATGGTGCTTCAAAGGAATGATTCAAAATATGATAAGATTAGTTAATTACACATCATTTTCTCATCCTAACACCTCAAGAACTTTGCAAGAGTTCAAATTTCAAAGTACTATAAATGTTATCAAAATTTAATTGGAAAAACAATGTTTAGAAAGTCCGACTCAGGCTCCAACTCGCCTGGGGCATGAACCGAGTTCCCTGTCCAACTCTGAGAGTCTAAGTTGGGCCATGAAATTTTTACTGAAAAAGATTTAGAATTATGAGTAACCAGGTTTTTCAGCTTGGAATGGGATACATTATGACATTCATCATGTTTGAAAATCGAGAATCGAAGTTTTGAATCGCCTACCCTTTGTAATAATTTGGATTGACAGGATAGGTGATATAGATTAGCTGAATTGGTAAATAAAAAAATAAATTAGGGATTTGGATTGTCCATCCACTGAATCTAATCTGAATCACGATTCTCGATCCGAATCATCCGATTTACAAACCGTGATTGCAAGTACGGCTAAAGAATGCATTTGGTAATTGAGTATAAATCTATAGTGGGGTGGTTTCTTTTGGTCAGCCTTGAAGATAGGGGTTTCCTCTTCATTCCAATTTTTGCAATGCGCGTAAGCTGGTTGGGTCAACAACTCACACCCACAATGGCTCTTAAGAGATTGGACTTGTCTTATTTCTAAAAAAATGTATACCTCTGCAAAAACTGTTTGATTTTTGGTAGGAGTTCCTAGTATGTACAAAAAGCCTGAAAATGGTCTCTATTTAAAAAGAAGTTTCATCATTTAATTTTAAAAGTAAAACCAGAATGACATATTATAAATTTTTATGGATTCCTCAATATTACAACGTTAGATGTCACCAATTTTGAAAAAATATGTAAAACTTTGCTATTAATTTTAAGTTTCAGATCATGATTTGGTTCGCCCCAAGGATGACAGCCACAGTGCCTTGGAGGTATTTCTTTGGCTTCGATTTTGAGATGCACCCATAACCCGGTATAAGCTCATGAAAATATTCGTGGTCAAAAAAAAAAAAAAAACTCAAGAAAATATTCAAAATGAACTTAAAAGTAATTTTTTGAGGATAAATAAAATCTCTCAATTATTATTTAAATGAATATTTTTTACCAAAAATTTATGTGTTTTATTTACACTATTTCATGGTTTTCTTTTATTACATTGACTCTCTCATAAATATGAGGCAAATCTATAATTCAAACTTAGATAAAAAAAGGAGGGAGAAAAGAAAAGTTTTAGAGAGAAAGTATCTTGTATATAGAAAAAAAAAAAAAAGTCGAAAAAGAGGGGAAATAATTTAAATAGAAGAATCGGTTTTTCAAACTTTAGATAATTCCATGTTATTGGCAAAAACATCGGTATTGAAACTAGCAATTTAGAACAACTCATCCTTGTTCTTAAATCTGGGCGAAATTAGACCATTGTAATCAAATAATTTCAATGCAGATTTTCTTAACACTAGTTTTGAATTAGGGTGCAAAACTGTGAGGGGTCACCCTAACAGAGATCATATCACTTTGACTTTTGATATGCATTTATTCGCCCGTAAACAATCTTCCTCTCTTAAATGCCATGATCCATGCTTTGCAAGTGGGGAATGCCGACAAAAAATGTCAAAGTAAATGGGACCACATGTAAAGTGAGCTGCTGCCGTGCATAGTGGAGACTGAATTCTCTCGGTCACATGTGAGGACTTTATATATATATATATATATATATATATATATATATATATATATTAGT